GCATGGCGGACATGAGACAGAACCTGGGACGAGCATAACTGGTCGCGACTTGCCTTGTCCCCGCCAAAAAAGAGCCCGTATTTGCTTAGCATGTAAAGCTACTGCAGTTGAAACAAGGGAGAGAAAAAAAGCACTTACCGCTCTGCCGTAATCCATCCTCGGCTAGATAACGTAAAAGAATGAGGGGGGACTGGCATTGCATTTTTATGCAATAACGATGCAATGCATTATAGGACATGGACGCAATGAATTATGGGATCACATGAAGACGCAAGGGATTATGGGTATATGAACAACTATAAAAGCAACTACATTTTTTAGAGTCAGGAAGTTCTTCGAGGGACGTTCACGGTTGACGGCAAGAACGGGCAGTTAGTGTGGTTTGGAGACAGAACTCAAGGAACGACAAGGTTGAAATACCAGCTGGGAGAGCTTGAATTTACTCGCTGGTTACTGTTTTCTTTATTCGCCTCAGAATATTTAAAAAGAAAATTGAATGTGTTTAAATTGAAAACACTAAAATATCAGTATATTTTTGCTATGGTTTATAACTATTTTTTTTTTTAAAAAAAAATCAGTATCACCCCATGCAAGGCAGTGAAGCCACTAAGACACAAGGCACTACAGAAACATTAATAATGAGCAGGAAGAGTAATCAGGACAATAGTTAGCAATTGACATTGCATTTAAATTTTTTGCAGATTAAAGCTGGCTGGAAAGAATGGAGTTGATATGGAGTTCCACAAACAAGAAAAGAAACTGTTTGCATAAAATTTACTGTCATCTCTTGCCAGCTTAACTGTAAATTGATAAGATCTCAATGCCAGTCCAGTACTGCACTTAAATTCAAAAAGTGTAGGTACCATGGCAAAGAGCCTATAGAATAACTACCATGAAAGTATTTATAGAAAAGACACAGAGGCATCCTTATGGTGGTGGGAAAGTGACTGAAACCAAGCCGCCAGATCAGGACCAATAATATTGCCGAGTCTTCTTTGGATTTTATCAAGGAACTCAAGCTAAATAGCAGAGGCACCAGACCGTATATGGCAGACTTATAGATATGTAAGATCAATTCTGGAGAGAAAAATTGTCTTGCATGATGTAGTGAACCAACTTTCTTAGCAGCTGACCTAGCAATGGATTCAGTATATCTTTCTACTTCATGTCAGTGAGAACCTTAACCTGAAAAGGCTAAAACAGGTTTTAATTTGCAAATATCTTTGCTTATATAAAAAGTATAGAAATAAATTGTTTACCAAAACCTTCCCTGTAACATGCTGAATGAGAACATATAGTTTTAAGGGTCTGAATATAGAAGGCTTGGAGTTTAAGCCAGACATACATAGTCAAACAAATGTCTTTTATTATAGAATAGATGGTATAGACAAAACTAGTTGTTATTGTAACAAAGACTGAAGTCATTAAACACCTATCTAAACTTTTATTCACAAATTCTGGTGATAAGGAAGTAGCATTCATAAGTACATTTAAAAACAGTATGTGTTTTTTTTGTTTTTTTTTTTGTTTTTTATTGATGTTCACCCTGTACAAGATCTGGAAGCCATTTCAGATAGAGGGTTACAGAGTAAGAGGCATAGTTTATGCAGATATGTGGGAAAGATAATGGTTAATCCTAGACTTGAACAGGTTAAGATCGTGGCAATTGGGAAAGCATCTTCTTGGGAGACAGTTTGCTAGAAGCTGCTCCTTAATTTCACCAATGGAATGAAGTAAAAGAGGGTGGGTTACTACAATGTGCATAGTATGGTGGGTTTTAGCCATGAAAGTTAAAATTAGTGAAACTAAGGAATGAAGTTTGAGAACTTTCCATGGAAATAGCGATAGAGCAGTGAAAGGCTGGATGTTTCATTAGTGAGAAAGGTGGAAAATAATTTGTCACTCAAGGACACATTTGGACTTTATTGAAACTGGAAAGTGAAGATTGAGTAGCTCCTGCCCATATATGGCAGCAGTACTCCATTTTAGGCCTTATTTGGCTCTTGCAAAGGTAGAGGATAGCATGAGGAGTCAAGTACTTACTGCAGTGGTACAGGGAACCAACCATTTTTCCAGCATCAATAGATGCTCAAGACATGGAGCCTCCCTGAGGGAACATACATTCATCCTTTGTCATAGTTGAGGGTCTGATCAGCAATGGCAGGATGTAACTAGTTTGGTTTTCAAGGCATTGTATGTAACCAGCCAGTCCCCCCCTCCAGAGATGTTGGAGCTAAGTCAGAGGAGAGATCAGCTGCCAATCTATGGTCATTGGAAGTGAACCCATATATCATGTCATCAACATGGATATTCACAAATGATTAGAGTATACTTATGTAAAGAAAAAAAAAAGAAAAGTGTATCCAAGAAGCAACCAGGTTGGGGCTGGTTACATACAAATGCCTTGAAAACCAAACTAGTTACATTCCGCCATTGCCAAGAGGTTGTTCCTATTTAGATGATCAACAACCTTCTTGTTGATTATATATTAAAAAAGCTTGCTAATGGCACTGAGGAGACTGATCGAGAGGGGGATGAGTGTTCAACTATGCTCTTGAAAACCAGCCATATGCTTGACACCTTCCACTGATCTGGGAAGGATTTCTCCTTCAAGTAGCGATTAAATAATTTTGCTAAGATTGTGGATAATTATGGGTTGATAATCTTAAGGACAATCATTGAGATTTTGTCTAAGTCAGTGGCTTTCTTAGGGTTAAGACTTGATAATACTAGTGAGACAGAGGAAGTAGTCTAATGTTGAGTTAGAAGCAAAGAGCTTTGACTTATCTGACCTCAGGGCCATTTATAATAGTGAATACAGATTGAGGTTTTTGATCATTGCTCAGCACAGAGTAGGAGTTATCCAGGCTGTGTGTGTGCTTGCACATTAAATGACACAAGCACATGTAAGAATCAGCACTTTTTATGATATCTGAGGGGGGGGGGCAAAAACTTTCAGTTTGTCTGAGTGTTAATGTTCATATTTGAGATTTAGTTTCTATTTTCTTCAATTAGAAAAAATATTCAGCTATATTTTTTTTGAAAAAAAATTTATTGCCAATTATATTTTAATTTTCTTTTTTTATATGTTGACAGATTCAAGTTCAATTTTTAGAAAGATTTCAATTTTATGATCAAGCAAAAAAGGCCTTTGCAGTGGTTCATACAGGGTAAGTTCAACATTAAAATAGTTAATGTAAGTTTTATATACAAACTTTTCAACTGATAAAATTGGTCTAAGATATTCCCAAATTGGACACCCCATTTTTGCATTAGCCTCCTGAAACCGGATCTATTTCCATTTGAAATCTCAACTCTAGTTTCATAACTGCAAAATTATCAATGTATTTTTCAGTTTTTAATAGATACTGATCAGACTATACTTGCTTTTGTACAAATACAATTGTGGCATATTCAGTAAGGGCAAAACTCAACAATGGCTTATATTGCAAAGTTAGTCATGACACCACAACTGGTGCTAAATTACTAACATCATTGTTTAATAGATTTGTGAATAAAGGATCATGTTAATCAGTTTTTTTTTTCTTTTAATATTTATATGCCAGCATTTCAGCTCCAAGAGCAAATGGAACTTGAAAAGTCCTGGTGTTAAGTTCACAAGAGGACAAATGAAAATATTGCCATGGTGAGAAAAGAAAAATCCTTTTCAATATACAAAGTTCTTTCTTCAGTTCAAGCCAAATCTAGTAACCTGGTGATGTAATTGATTGTTATAAAACTGCCAGACTGTATGAACCAGGGGCGGGGGGTCATCTTTATGAGAAAGTTTGCCATTCTGTAAAAAGTTCTTATTGACTTTTTCAGTTATTTTAGCCAAATTAATGTTTTAATTTTCCAACCATTTACTTTTCTAAGTGAGTCAAGAAAATGTTCCTAATCTCCTTTAAGGAGAAAAAAAAATGCTTGTTCATTTGGTAAGTTGAGATAAAAGCTTTTCACTCTTGTATAATTTAGTTATATTCATGTAATTTGCAATTTGTTATATAATTTTAGCACTATTGAGGATAACAGGTCCACTCAAAAAAAAAAAAAAAGTTTGGGTAATAATTTTTGTAGATTAGCATTCCTCAAGCAACATTTGTCAGAATAAAAAAAATATTTTTATTATTTGTAGAATTGAGTTCCTGTTTCTAATACAGTTTCAAATAATTGATTAACTTTTTTCTTTTTCTTATCCCCAAAATAATTATCTGTACTTAGTTTTTATTTACAAATGTCAGCTTTGAAATTTTCCTCCACCTCTAATTCATAAAAGCTAAGATTACTGATAACTGTACTTTTTAATAAAGAAATGGTAAGCTTGAAACCGTGCCATCATTGGTAACCGTGTACAACTAACATTGCCAAACTTTACCATACATGCTAAATTCTACAAGTTTAAGAGATTTTCTCAGTAAATTCAATCAAAATGAATATATTCAATTGTTCTTTAATAAAAAAGAAATATTTTTAAAAAAATTTGTCAGCAGAAAATCCCTACTTTTAAACTTGATATTTTGTAAATAAAAACATTACAGATAACGCTTAAAAAAAAAGTCAGGAACCAATTTGGCACTATTTATATTATGAACAGTAGTAACTTTTCTGAAACAAAAAAATAAAGTTCAATTTTGACAAATGCCATATTTTAAAGTGTCTTAAAGTATTTACTCCACTGATCAGAAATTATTTTTCTTTTACAGAGAGTTGGCTAAATATGGAAATATCATTCTGAAGAAAGGAGTTGTAAGCTAAAAATGACAGGAGTTATATATAAACAAAAAAAATATCCCTTGAATCAAAGTTAGGTTTAATTCTGAACAAAGCAAAGAACCAGTTGTTTTGAGTGATGTCGTCTTACATAGATCATTCTTTGGCATCTCCTCCTGCTTTTGCCATACTCTGAGTGTCAAAAGAGCTGGCCACCTTAAAAACGAGGACATCCATTAATCAACTTTTATTTATGACATTACGTGTGTGTGAAAAACCTTTTTTCAAATTCATACCTGTGGTAGTGTGAAAAACCTTTTTTCAAATTCATACCTGTGGTAGTGTGAAAAACCTTTTTTCAAATTCATACCTGTGGTAGTGTGAAAAACCTTTTTCAAATTCATACCTGTGGTAGTGTGAAAAACCTTTTTCAAATTCATACCTGTGGTAGTGTGAAAAACCTTTTTCAAATTCATACCTGTGGTAGTGTGAAAAACCTTTTTTCAAATTCATACCTGTGGTAGTGTGAAAAACCTTTTTTCAAATTCATACCTGTGGTAGTGTGAAAAACCTTTTTTCAAATTCATACCTGTGGTAGTGTGAAAAACCTTTTTTCAAATTCATACCTGTGGTAGTGTGAAAAACCTTTTTTCAAATTCATACCTGTGGTAGTGTGAAAAACCTTTTTTCAAATTCATACCTGTGGTAGTGTGAAAAACCTTTTTTCAAATTCATACCTGTGGTAGTATGGTGATGGGAATTTATAACAGAAATTACCATAAAAAGAAAATAATTGACTGAGCTGCTACATTATATAAAGCAGACCAGCTAATAAATGATTATTTATCTAAGATAAAGCATTGTCAGTTATTAATTTTTAACAATCACTCCTTTTATGATCAAGCAAGCAGCATTGATCAGGAACAAAGAAGATTCTAAAATTCTATACAAAAGCCAGTAAATTAAATCATCCCTTCTCGGTCAAATCAAATAAATTTAATTTTTGTTATAAATTTAGCCTTTCTTTCTTTGATTTGCAAACTGTTTGGTTTAACTTAGCTGCAAGTTATGAAATCTATTACTATAACCTCATAATCCATATGAAAAGTGTTTAAAACAAATATTAAATTTGAAAATCTAAAGTTTTAGGTTTAACAGTGCTTTACTATGACCAGTGACATTAAATATTGGCCATGAAATAATTGATATTTCAACAGTGCTTCCCCATGTTTATGATAAACAAGCCATGGTTATATAAAAAAAGTAGTAAATAGATTTTTTTACTCATTTTAAAATATAAAAATAAAGAGCAATTTTAAGGTGAAAATAGTACAACACAGAAAGCTTAAAATTAATGCTTGGATATATTTATCTTATGACATGTATGTGTTTGCAAAACACATAAGTTGAAAGGGTGTGTGTGTGTGTGTGTGTGTGTGTGTGTGCACGCGCGCATGTGAAGGGGTGCTGAAAAGTTCTTGGCTCACCCCCCAATATGATCAAACTTTTTAATCCTTTCTTAGTTATGTAAAACTTGTTAGCGCCTCACTTTATACAGATAACACACGGACAAAATAAAGCTGCAAAGCCCTGAAGGGCAATGCCAATTTTTACCTGGATACAGTATGTGCCTACGATATAAAATTTTCTTATAACATGTAGTAACCAACTGTGTCTAGGCTTTAAATGGTGACGAAATGCTGTAATAAAGTTCAATGTAGTAAAAAATAGTCTAGTGCTAGAAAGTGTTATGTCAGAGATGCGCACACACACACACACACACGATATTTTTGTTTAGTTGAAATTCATCAAGAGGATGGAATGGTTCTTTTGGAGAATGGCGCATGTTGGATGTGATATCAGTGGTGCTACAATGTCAGCAACAGGCATTAAATGAACATTCCAACAGTCAGAGATCAAATTCTGGTTAGCCATATAATATAGCTCAACACATTGTAATGGCAGCAGTGATAGACTACACAGCATATACAACAAAGAGTAAAGACAAACTATTAGTTTACTTGCAGCAGGAGATGTGTGTATGCCTCTAGCCAAACTTTCACTTATGTTAGTTATGCATGTCTCTAATGATGTTACAAAAAGCTCACCTAGAAAATCAAACGGCATTAAGTTTTCAGTAATAGTTGGAGCTTCTGTTTTCATACAAGGTTATAGTTGGCACATGCAAAATAGATCAGGGGAGTGAGATCTTTTAGAGTGTATTCAACTACAAAATATAGGTCATAATGGCATGAGGGTGTCACAAATTACAACTCTCACCCACCTTTGGTGTTTGTGGAAGAAACACTGATCAGAACTTTATATATCCAGCATAATTTTCAACCCATTCTGAAGCCATTCCTCCAACAGGAAGTTGGTGTTTTTCCAGCAGGATAATGCCCATGCTGGAAAGTGAGGACTGGGTAGCTATATCCCAGATATAGCAGCAGTACTTAGTTTTTGGTCTAATCAGATTCTTGCAGAAATAGCATGGCAGGAGGAGACAGGTACTTTCTGGGGCTGACCATTTTTGTAGCATCTTTAGCAATGGATCATACATAGAAGTTCCACTTGAGGTCTGTTGTGAGACCCAATAGGTGTTCTAGGTAAGGAGCCACATTGACAGCAAAAATCGTCAGTCATGACTGGAGAAAGCTCAGGGTCTAAAATGAGGAAACATTCCTAGTTTGGTTTTGGAGGTCAAGTTAAAAACCACCAGTCTTCACTTCAAATACCTGCTAAAGAATGACCTGCACTACTTTTTACAATCCATTTAGTGTCTAGTTTAGAATATTAGACAGAATAAAAGAAAAATTCAATGAATGAAGAATTTACACAAAGAAATTTATTCCAAAGGAACTCCTGTAAGACATTTAAAATGAAAGTAAGAACCACTCCCTCAGTCATACTGAAAGTCAATCACATTTTCATGCATCCAGTTAAAAAAAAAAAAAAAAAATGATGAAGTAAATCTCAAGAAACCCGGTCTAATGCTTCAAGGAGAACAATACTGTTGCCACGGACAGCCTGCAAAAATAAAAGTAAATTCATATCAACTTTAAGTTCCAGGAAAAAAGGGGGGGAAAAAAAAAAGAAAAAAAAAAAGATTGTAATTAATAAACAACCATCATAATGTTGAAGAAAGAGTATACCTATACACATATACATACAATAGATAGATGGATAATTTCAATTATACATCATTTTCTTGCTTGTAAAAGTTGAATTCACTAAATGTGAACTTTAGGAGTATAAAATCTACTTAATTATGATGCCCTTTTTTTAAAGGACCCATAAGTAAGGTAAGAAGCTGCTAGAATATGAATTATTTTCAGGTAAAATAAACACATTTGGACAATGAACACCATATATCATTTAAAAGGGAAAAAAAAAAAAAAATTTCCCAGAAGAATTTTATAATTTTATTCTAAATGTCTAATCTTAATCAAGTGACATTACAAGCAAACCATCTTTAACAACTGCAAATAACATAAGGATTTAACACTCGCATATGTAGATATTGTAGGCTGAATAAAGAAATTTAAAGATAACAATTGTATATTATTAGGTTAATAGACAAAATAGAATAATGATGAGAAAAGATGTTAAAAATGTAAATTTTCGGACACACCTATGTCCTATCTCATAGAGAAATAAAAGGACGTTGGACTTTGCGAGGTGCAGGTGCACATGTATTATATTACTACGGTAATTTAGTAGTTTGGGGTTAATTGTTTGCCATAATTAGGGTTGTAGAGGACCTTTTGTGAAACTGTATTCATTGAGTATGCCTAAATTCCTATTTAAATATAGGATTTGTGAACTTATTTAAAAAAATGTATTTTAACTTTTGGCATTTTAAATAAAGAAGCTAAAAGGACACATCTAACATCCATGCTATGCTCTGGTTGGTTGAAATGTGCTGCTACAGTGAAAGTGATGTTGTCATATTTTTTAGTTTTCTTATTGAATTCTGATTGAATTCTGTATCCGTTTCAGAGATATATAATTTCCAGTTTTGCATTTGTTGCAAAAAATATATTACATTTGAACTGTCACAAGTCAAGGGAGAAGGTCAGATTACTGTATGTGCCAGGTGACATAAAATTAAATGTAAATTGTGATATGTTTATACATTTTGGCATCAGAGTTTATTACACATTATGTTGCTTTGGTAAGTGGATAATTTTTGTAATAGAGATGTAATGAGTGATTGGAGATTGGTGCCTGATATTAAGTGGGATTTCATCAAACATCTTAATTGTTTTATGTACTAGAAATCTTTTACTAGGATGTGAGATGGTGAATGTTCTAATTAAAATCAAAAACCACAAGACTTCTGAAATTTTTCTTTGTTTTGTAGGTTAAAAAATTGCATTAGTGTCCGATTTTTTTTTTTTTTTTAAAGGGGATAATTTCTATTGAGAAAGTGATTGGTTAGTTGCCCCATGTTTTCTATAATCCACAGCATCAGAAAACATACATTTTATGCATAAAAGATGGCTATAGATTGAGGGGGGAGTATGACAGCAACATTGCCATCTGCAGGTTTATAGTGTATTGATGTTGAGGTGTGGTTGTTAAGACATACCAGAACATGCAAAAACAAAATGGAAATGGCTGAATAATCCATTGTGAATTTGCTGGTGATGCGAAAGCCATTGATGTATATCTTGAAGCTATGGTGAGTGTTCTCACATGTGTCCATATAAAGAGGTTATCATGCATGTACCTGTGGTATCCGAGAGGCTCTAGGTGGTAACATTTCATTCCAGAGTAACCATAAATATGTTCACATAGATGGGGGAGGGGGATCGTTTTAGTTCCTATTGCAGTGCCTTATATATATATATATATATATATATAAAAAAAATGGAAAAAACAAAGAAACTAATCTTAAACAGGTTTTATCTTTATTAAGGCTTAGTTAGAAATCAAGAATAGAAATGAAAAAGTGATTATACCGAGTACTGGAATGTTATGATTTTTTGGTAGTTTTCATTGGTCAAACATGTGTATAGATGCAATAGTTAATATATAAATATGTGTGAGGAACATTTTGGATGTCAAAGTGTGTGATAATGTAAGAGTGTGTAGGTGTATGTAGGATGGTAATGTTAATTCATGTAAGTGTGTACCTTGTATGTTGTCAGTGAATTGTGGTGACATGTTGCAAAATAAAATATGTATGTATATAAATATATATGCAATTCCTATGTATTATATGTGCAGTACTTATTAGAAAGGCCCAATATCAGTGATAGTACTAATACCTTTATTTGCATCGATGTGAGTTTGTGACCCTGGTTTTCATGTCCTTTGCAATTTCTTTCCATTTGGGAAGTTCATTATTATATGAGACCCTAAAAAAGGATGCTACCACCATGGGTCAGGGTGGACCTGGAAATAACAGCAATTAAGTGGTTCCATGCTCCTTAAAGTCTCCCAATCAGACACCTTGCTGTCAGATGTAGTTTATCATCAGACCCAGGACTAGGAATATATATATATATATGCAGTATACCATCTTTAACACTGGAAGTACTTGTACATCTTTACAAAAGTTTCATTGTCTGTCGTCAACATATGTATAAATTTTCGAAAACACTATAAAATGTCAGTCCCTGGTATTTGTATTATGAAGTAACTAGCACTTAATGCTATCCCCAAATCAACAGACATAAAAAAAGAATTTATTTTTCAAAAAACAGGCCAACACATCACTATGATGCAGCAGTAAAGGTATTAATGGAAATTAAACTATAGCTTTTACACACTGCAAAGTAGCCACTCATATGAGCCTCTATAGCTTTGATCAGGAAAAAGCATCATGCAAAAAACTCATGAAGACTAAATCCTATGAATGCCTATTGAAAAAAAAAAAAAAAAACTAAATTTTCAGCCTTTATACAAACTGTACTCATAAACTATGATACACCAAAATACAATTTAGTTTAGCTTCAGTTATTTTGCATCTTAGATTTTTCTACCCAATGCATAAAAAAAAAAAAAAAAAATGCACTGAAGTTATTCTGATCCATGACAAGTTTTCTGGTACATTTTTTTTCACTTTCAAAATACAAAACTGAAATCTACTTACAACCATGCCAATGGGATTCCTTTCACCACTCTTTGTTTCCTCAACACATTCATCTATAACAAGGTTCATGAAAGGATCAAATCCTCGTAGGATGCCACTCACTGTACGGCCACCATTAAGCTTCACTAGTAATAAAAATAAAATTATATAGTTATGCGTATATTAAATAGAGAAAATAAAAAAAAATATCAGTGAAAATGAATGTGATTTACTATATATCTCAAAAGAAAAAGTTCAAATTCAAGTTTATCAAAAGTGTAACAATTGTTCATGCTAACAAATACAAAATTCTACAATTAAAATTGCAGTTAAAGTTGTTCATCGGAAAACTTGTTACCTTTATCAACAATATTGAAGGATATGCAACACAGAATTTAGTTAAAGATAAAATAAATTTCTCTAGATGACATCTTAAGAATTACATTAGAAATGATCTTTTATATGCTAGGTTTCTTCAGGATCTAAGCAATTTTCTCCTCAATTTCCTAACCACTGTAGCTAAGTAACTTGACTTTTTGGTTTCCGTTTCTAATTTTCCTAGGTTTTAATATTTTGCCGATTTTTAGAAGGCATCAATGCGTCTTTAGTTATATATTGAGTCAATTTTGACATCCGCAGTTTATATCTCACACTTTGCTATACTACTATATCCTGGTATGATGGCCTCATTCCATAGATTAAATAGATCTGACGAGAAATGTATCCTTGTTATATGCCTCTTTCTATTTTGGTATACTTGCTCACCTTGTCTTCTGTTTTCCTGCAGGTGGTTTGTTCATATTAAACGTTACAGATTATTTTAATCTTTTAAACAAAGATTTCTGAGTAGTTCAAATAGGCCTTTGAGTTAAATCTTATCCAATGCTTTTGTGTAATTTATAAAATATAGGTATAGGTTTTTCTGCATTTGTATTCACTGATAGCATTTTGACTATCAAAAAAAAAAAAAAAAAAAACCCCATTTCTTGTGTCTGGTTTAATTCTGCTAGGACCTCTATTCATTAGAATGCTAGGCTAGTCATATGGGTCATTAAGCTGATTGTCAAATGGAGTTTGCATTCACCTGCACCTGGCTTCTTTAACATTACTAGGAAGATGGATCTGAATTTTTCACCACTGTTCTATGTTATACAGTGTAGGTTTCTCTCCTGTTGTGGAAATTGTTAGTCAAGTTAAAACATCATCCAAACAGAACAGAAATTAACCAGTTTGATAGAATTAAAATTCTAACAGGTTATAAGAATTTCATAAAAAAAAAAAAAAAAAAAAAAAAAATCAAAATCAAATCATGAAATTTTGGATACACAATAAGGTTTTGTTTGGCATCCAAGTGGAATGGGAAAATTTTAACCAATAAGAAAATAAAAATTCCAATTAACTTAAATTTGTCTATATTTCTGAGATGAGGTATTGTAATTATTTACACTATTTACATTGTTCAGACTGTTGTCCTCTTCTTTGTTGCCATATTCACATTTCACCCATTGTATGCTGCAGCCTTCTTCAGGTGACTGGAACCTCAAACTGAATCCATGAAACATTGTGATATGGCAACAAAGGTGATGACAACAGTTCAATGTAAATAACTTAAATTTGGTTAGAAATACAAACTATTTTACTTATTGGTAATATCAAATTTAATCTATTAACTTGGAAGTAAAACTAAGATTAAAGATTCAAGAATGATTCATTTTTTTTTTTTTTTTAAATGCACTTAGAACTTTGGTATCTTTTTTTTTTTGGTGGGGGGTAATTTTATACCCGTGTAAATGAACATTACTGAAATAAAACTGAGGTAAAATATATTTTTTTTCATTTCACAATATCTTAAGATTACTTCCATTTTCCAAAACCTCAGAATACAAAAAACAGGCAAAATAACCAAAATATAAAAATTTTACTTACAGGAAAGTCTCCTTTCCATATACCTGGGGGAAAAAGAAAAAAAAGGTAAATTAATACAACCAAGGGTCAATTGTATATCACATTTATTTTTATTTATATTCTTGAAGACAATCACATTTAGATATAAACTTACAAATCTGTTGAAAATTGTTAAAGCTTCTTTATGCTCACTACCCCCCCTGAAAAAAAAAACCTTTTAACTTTGCTCCACAAAAAACAAAAAAGTCATTAAGTATGACCCAAAGTAAAATAAATGCATAAAAAAATATTTAGTGAAACATCAATTAAGTAAAAAATTTTTATATTTTGAAGGGATGATTTGCAAAGACTTTAATGATGAAACAGAACTGAATATTAAAAGTGAAATAATTGCAGTGCATCAGATGACACTTAAATCACGTGACCTTTTAAAGGATTGTATCCTATAGGTAGAAATTAGGAACTTTTTTTTTTTTTTTTATTAAAAATTAATTATTTTTTTCTTTTTAAAGGGGAGAAACAACTGTTATGAGATTTTCAATTCAAATTTTGAATCGTAAATGTACTTTTCACTTAATGATATCACCAAAACACCATCTTGAAAGCAATGAAAAATTTAAAAAAAAAAAAGTTCTTGTAAAAATTCATTGAAAATTTTTTTATTTCTTCAGACAATAGTGCCCTTAATGTAACTTATTTACAAAAGCAATTAAAAGCTTTTCTAATTAACATCATAGTTTTATTGCATTTTTTATTTTACAATTCAGAGCAGAGTTTTGATTCATTGAGTTTGGAACCTTTTTTCATCATGTGATGCTTTCTTTCCACAAACAAGTGGAGGTACCTGCTCTTAGGTCCAATATGTAGAAGGATACATGCTCACAACAAACACCACTTGATATTACAGGCAAGTAATTTCTACTTATCAGGAAAGATTTTATAATCTATGAAACAATATTTCACTTAAACAACAACAATCGTATTTGCTGATGGTAGGAATTATTAGAAACGGTTTATCTTGCAGGAGAGCTAGAAACCCTACAAAATCAAGACACTTGACGAAAGAAGAAGAAAAAAAAAAAAAGACAACCGGTCTCACCTCTTTGTATTTCTATTTTTTCTTTTAAATCTCTTATTTTCCTTTCTCTCTTCAAACTCAAACATCACCTCAATGCCCTCTAATCTCCATGGATTTGATCTTTTAATCCATAATCATTTTGAATTTTTTTCTGCATAATTTGAAATTGCTCTGATGGCCTATCTTTTTTTTTTTTTTTTTTTTTTTACTCCTCTCAATCCAAGTCAACTTCAGGTCCTGCATAAAGATCTTCCTGCAAAACCATGGCATCTGATTTCAATCAGAAGACAGGTAGTCAGCAATGGTTGGACTTGCATTTATCTACTAGCTCCTGGTATTTTTTGAGCTTTCATTCAAAGGCCTCTTCCAAATTTTCTTCCCAAAGGACTATAAATTTGAGTATTACAACTTGCCTGGAGACAATTGACAAGATTAAATCCAGGTGCAGAGAAAATGTTTCTATATGCTCTGGGAATTTCAACTGACTCCTGACATCTCTCAGCTGCCAGTCTCAGACAGAAGAGAGCATGCAAGTTGATGGTTTATGCACTGAGGGGGTTTTTCACCAGCTTTGGTGAAATTAATCACTTTTGTTTCAGGCTTGAAACTGCTAACACTGTTGCTGTGGCTACTACTTCGGTCAATAACTGAAGTACCTGGTCATGTCACCATCAGTACCTCCCATCACCAGGGGCCCTTGGACATGCACATAGAATGTGTTTCAGCATATCTTTCCTGACACAGAGTAGGCATGATGGTGTCTCACTCATCCCCCAAGTATGCAATTCAGGTGCTAGGAAAGAAGCCTAGACCAGCATGACCTGCTGCCACCATCACTACAACAATCTTCTGCCTTAAATGCTTCTTTGCTATACTTAGTTCACTCCATTTCCTTCCAGTGCAGACCTTGATGCCTGTTGCCACTGCTTTTGGATCCTTAGAGTCCCTATACTGTAGGAATTCTCTTGTCTGAGAGAACCACAAATTTATCCACCAGACCTTTAGAGTTGTAGCACATTTGAGGTGCCATATAATGCGACAGACTTCTTGGCATCCGTAGCCATCTGTGGAGGTAACTTAATTCTCCTTTCCATGGCCTTCACTGATCTCATTTGGGAGTCAGATAAACAAAGGCCAAAAAATTCTTGGGAGCACAGCGTGCCAATAAATCCATGCCTTGAAACAGCCTGTTAGTCCGGATTTGTCCACCATGGCTAGCCATCATTCCAATTCAGAGATTGTCACTCAGGTGGTTGAACTATCCTTTAAAAAATCCACTAAAAATTTTTCTTAGGTTTTTCACAGGTCACTGTCAACGTGGGGATGGTTGTTCCCGATATCAAGAAATGCAAATTATACACTACTTTTCCCTTGTTCATAATTAACAACCCCGATTTAGCAGGCTTGAAATTCATTCTTGTCCAAGCTATAAGCTTTGAGCCTGTGTAGGATCCACATACTCCCTGTAACTGAAGATATAGTCAGGTTGTCCATAGATGACCTGATCAGAGGTTTATACACTCCTGTCTTCATCATAGGTCCTTGACTTCAGCTGATTTGACCACCATATTTATGGCAAGGGTAAAGAGGGTAACTGAGATCAGCGCCTAGCATGAAACAGCCTGTCATTTCAGAGTGTTGACTTCAATGTGTTACATGCCTAGCATTATATAGAATACTCAAGTCTGTGAAGTGCACCAAATTGACATGGCCTTGAATCAACAAAACTCCAGGGCAATATGGAGTCTGATAACAATGCATTATTCTACTTTAATAACCCATTGCTGATAGTGTACAGGTGTTGAGGCCAAACAGTGTCCATGACACAAACATATCCTGCACCAGTACAGATTCACCATACCACCAGCTTGCATAGTGTTATGTTGAAAACTGGGAATCGTGACTCCAACCTATAGTGGTGCCATCTACCATTACAGTTTCATACAATTGTTCTATGATTTGGAATGACAGTGTATAGTGAAGATACAAGTTTATTCATGATATAGTTCTCATTTCAAGTTTTTAGTAAAACTGTTTTAAGTTTTCAACTTCCAACATGAAATTAAATATACTCTTGTAAAGATTCAATATTTACACAACGAGATTGAATCTCTGAATCAAGCAATAAGCAGTTCTGCAAGAGTATGCCATGAATACACAAACTGAAGGTTATTTTTATCAAGATCAATTTAAATATAACTTCTAAAAATTACTTATATAGTAGCAAAAAAGTCCTATTGATGTTACAAAAGGCAGAGTTTATGTGGAAAAATAAATTCATTAATAAGTACTGAAAATTTTGTTTAATCAGGTAATTCTGATTTTTGGCAAATATTTTATAACAGGATAGTATGTTCCCCCCACCCTTTATTCTGGGAGACCAACACTGCAAAAGAGGTCTGAGAGAGGAATGCCTATTCTGAAGGAAAGTTAGAAGACTAAATTTACTTTTTGGTGAAAGCTAATTTTTTTTTTACTAAACTTAGTCAGTGGTAATCTAATAGCAATAGTGCAGATTGCTAATCAACTACTCCATAATCAGATAAATACCGTGATATGTTTGCAATTGATTTTAACAGTAAGACTATTCCCTGGATTAAAATATCTGGTGAGTGAGTAAGTGGAGAGCTTTTCACAAGTAGAATCTTGTTACTAAAACAAAAAAAAAAAAAAATCTTAATGTCAGTCAGCAATCATCAATATCTGGCAGTAAAAAAGAGCCAGCAGTGAAATACTAAAACCCGACATATTTATGTAAATATCCACCCTATTTCAGTCTGAAAGAAAAAGTATTTTGACTCACTTGTCTTTTGGCTAGTAATTTGTAACCTTGCTGTGCAAAACTATATAGTAAATATTACTAATAATCTGACAATATTTCATTTAAAGCAGGTGTACTGATGCCTTTTGTAAAGTCAATAGGACTTTTTTTTTGCTACTATATAAACAATTTTTAGAAGTTGTTATATTTAAATTGATCTTAATAAAAATAACCTTCAGTTTATAGTCTGAAAGAACTGCTTATTACTCGATTCAGAGATTCAATATTTTGGGGCAAATACTGAATCCTTACAAGAGTATATTTAATTTCATATCAGAATTTGAAAACTTAAAACAGTTTTACTAAAAACTTGAAATGAGAATTATATAATGAATAAAATTGTATCTTCACTATACACTGTTTTTCCAAATCATAGAAAAATTGTATGAAACTGAAACGGTATATGGCACCATCATAGGTTGAAGTCATGACTCCCATAGAGGAATAAATTTTTCTGTGACTATGGAATTGTTAATCTTAAACAGAATTTGGGTTTTTAATGTATTTTTCAATAATAAATCAAATTTTTAGGATTTTTTTTCCAAAACTTAATTGTCTCTCCGATTTTGTTAAGCATTTTAATAAATATAACAATAACAGTTATTTCCTTAAAATTTGTTATAAATATTTGTACTTATTTTCTTCATAAAACCCAAAAAATAATTAAGAGCAAAAATGTTTACATAAAAAAAAAAGTCACTTATCAATTTTCTGAGAATATGTTGGCTAGTCTATTTTTAAATATTTTAAAACTTTTCTAAGAAACTATGTAGCATACAAGACAAAAGTCAGGTCATGACTCAGTTGTGGCTACTGTGATCCATTGCTAAAGTGGAAATGGAAGACAGACATTAGTTGCTGCCAAAATTAGAATGGGGAGAGAGAGAGATTAAGATCAAACCATTAAGTGTAACAAATTCATTTCCTTTAAGGCCTCACACAATATACAAGATTCTAAACAACTTTCTTTATGACTATGGAAAAGTAAATGCAATCACATGCTTTTTAGGGAAAAAAAAAAAAAAAAAAAAAAAAAAAAAAAAAAAAAAAAAAAGAAAAAAAATTCTCCAAAAACACCATTCTATGAAATGACTGGTTTTTCTAAGCTTACCATCAAACAACAAATCTCCTAGATTAATAATTGA